GAGGGAAGCAATCATCAGAAGAGGCAGACGTTGTTTTACTTTCTATGGCTTGTTGCCACAGTTTCGCGCGTGTTTGCGGCCGTCAGCGGCAACAAATATATAACTTCACAATAAAAATCACAACAAAGTTGACGTCGAACAGAAGCTACATTGACCTTTATGCGGTTGCTGACTCCGCTGCTGTTGCTTCAGAACATTTTTTTCGCCTTGGATGCGCAGGTAACTGGGCGGTCACATAAGGCTTAACTTTACCACTTCTATGGTGCTTAGTAAACATACAGTATACATTACTATGGTAGCATTGGCGTTGAGCAAGCTGTGGTCGTTCTATGATCTTCAACACTGCTTCAATGAGTTCTTTGTAAAATACTAATTTGATTTTTGCCTATTAGAAAAAATGATGTAAATTTTGCGTTCTATATAATGGCACGAATATCCCGTATATGTGTATATATCGTACACTAGAAATATATCATGTATATAAAATATTTTTCTAGTTGCATTTTATATAAGGGGAGTAGTAAGACTTCGTGTAAAATGCAAAGGTCTTATCAACTGTTCGCGTTACAACGAGAAACACATTCATAATAATAATAATAACAATTCATCATGTTAACTTTGGTCAGTAACATCGAGCAATAGGGGTTTCTCGACCCTGCAACAATTATAGAAGCAAACAGATCAGCTATCTAGCGCCCTCACGTTGAATGGATAGCGAGCTAATCTTCTACTGTGTTCTTCGCTTACTCTACAGCTATGGCGTAAACATGACGTAGACAGCGCCCAGTGTAACATTTACATCAACACTCGCTTGGCACCGTTATAGCTTATTGACAGATGGACGGACGGACGGACGGAAAGAAGCCCAACGATTTCCAAAGCCAACTGCTGGTCCACTCCGAAGCTTTAGAAGGCGTTATGTGGTACTCGTCGCTGTCAGATTGGATAGATTAGCTACTTTCAGCGCGAGCGTCGTGGCCGCAGCGACCGCTAACGACTATCGCATCCGACAATTCCTGGATGAAACGCTGGGCGCACGGCGGAAACAGTGGTCGAAAAAAGTCACAAAACAGAAACAGATCTGTAATAGCTGGAAACCACTGACCGTAAACAGAAAGGCGTGATTTTTTCGATGTACGAGTAGTATAGCTTTTTTATTGACGCTTGATTGCTTGCGGGTTTATGCAAAGTCAGTCGTCTTCTTCTTGTGTTATTTCGTCCACTTCGTCTGGTAATTGGTAAAGCACATCTGAGCGTCATCAAAATTCTGACCGCAATTTGGGTCTGAACGCATATATATGTATTAGATGTGCAGGTAAAAACCGTTTTTCGTCCCGCGTGAACGATTAGAAAATAAATATGGCGGAAAAACCTTTGCGACCAGTACGATCTGCAAAAAGAAGAGTTGGCGTCATGTGAAATTTACGTAAAGATATCACAACCTATGTAATATACACGAGACGAATATGTACAGACCGTTCAAGCGTTACGTGTAGCAAGTTGTTACTATAAACACGAAAAAAAAAAGCAGCTCTATTTGTTCACGCCGGTTGTGTGGTACGTCCCTCTGGCGGGACTCGAACCAGCGACTTCACACTTGCTTACAAGTAGAGGACGGTCGAGCGCGCATTACTAACAACAACAGGTGCCAGCGTTGTCTGTGTACGTCACGTGAGGAAGGACGCTGTAATTGATAACGTTTGTCCTATTTGTCGTATGTAGCCATAGCGTGCACGTGTCTTGGGTGTGGTTTTTATAGTTCGCTTGTACAGTCCGCAAGCACGATACGTCTCTATGCGTATGCTGTGATTGTAACGGCAAAGCGTAGAGAGGATGAAACAATAATCGCTGCCATAGCGATAGCAACAAAAGCAAACATGAAACTATTCTGAAGCATCACTCGCACTTTTCAGAAAGTGAGAGGTTATGAATCAGAGGAAACAGTTTGGCCACGAGCTCAGTTAGAGCAAGTCGGCCAATTCAGAGTTAGAATTCTTGGAAGACCAAGACAAAATGTAAAAGCGTTATGAGTGCACATGGTGGTTTTGGGAGTTCTTATAGTCGCTTGAAGCAGAAATATGCATCTCATTTTAAAGGCTGGCACAGTTCCGCCTGCAGTAGAGCCTCATTATACCTACGTGTGGCCCATGTCAAACTTGGAACACAGCTCGAGCTTGCACATATATATATATATATATATAAATTTACATAGGATACAAAGCCATCAGAAGGTACGCAGATGCTGCTTTTTGTAACCCCTTATGAACAAACTTTATAGTATCTTCCTTTATATAAACTAACGTGTGCAGAATCCTCTCTAGAAGTCTCTAGCCACTTAGGGTACTCAATCTACTGTAAAAGCCAGTTTTTCGTTACTCCACATACAAAAAGACAATCCTAAATAATAAGAGTTTTTAAATAATAAACTTTTTGCAGAAATAGAAATGTATACATACTTGTTCCGATCAAACGCAGTCCGCTCACTGGTAATCCGCCGAATAGGCATATTGTTCCATTAACGTTATTATTAGCTAATTTTCAGAGCTACCACTGTGACTAATTTTAACTAAGCAATCGTATGTCGTTAAAATGCTTTTATGAAATACCTATATTTTTCTTTTCTAAGTCAATAGGTGTTTTTTTTTTATCATTGTAACAGCTGCAGAGACAAACCAGCGTCATTGCATCGTTTCTTCTATAACGAGCCAGCCAGATCGCAACGTAAAAAGCAAACGGCTCATTAATTAGTATCACATAGGTCAACTAGACTACGCATTAATAAACGATAGAAACATCTGATGGCCTTTGAGTCTGCAAAAAAGGTAGAATTCGCCGCAGGAAAAGATCGTTTTCTAGCGCATTCACGGAGTTCGAACGAAGCTGTGTCCTAACCGATCTTTAAATACATCCTTCAGTCTGTCCTACATACTAAATTGGTCTACATTCTGAAGGAAAGTAAATGTTTATATTCACGCGCACCATATATTTCTGCCTCGTCGATTAAAAAAAAAAGGTAAATTAGATAAATGTATAGCATCGTTGATGCGACGCCACCTGGGTACGATAATTGCGCACCGCCAAACGTCTGTCAAACTAAAAAAGGGCAGTTCTCTATTGGGAACACCAATATCATTCCATTTCATCTGTCCAACGAATAATGATGTCTTACGTGATTCGATCGTCCGATTTTCAGTGGGCTGTTAAGCTGAACGTGCAGCTTTGCTTTGTATGCTTTTACGAATGGTGTAGGGTTTTCGTATATACAATATCTATATATTTGCTGTAAATAACGGTATTGCAATCATTTTTGTCTCCTGTTTATTTATCATCACTCTTCACACGTACTCGTAAGATGACGCATCGGTTTACTGGTTTGCCCCCTAAATCTAGACAAACTTCGGTGTAGGTTCGAAACGGGGTGTAGACAAACACTCAGTCCCTTTTGTGACAGTGAAAGGAAAAGCCAGCCGTCTGGCTCGAAGCTATAAAATATCTCGTTAGTTTTAGGCTATTAAGTTACCAGGCTAGGAAATTAAATTCTTATACTACTTAATAGAAACAGCATAATCACTTTCAGTGTTACTCCGTAACTATTCTTATAAAAGTCTTATAACAGTCTTATCAAACTCTGCGTTTGAACAGCCTTCGCTGGTCGTTCTCAAGCAGTGCATTAGGAACTTGTTTTTTTTTCAACAAGGACTGATTCTTACCGCACAAGTTGAATTGTTTTCTATACCTACTGGCAAGGCAAACATTTTACGCCTACAAGCGCTTGATCTGTATTCTCCGATAATCGATCGTTCTTTCATTTATTTCATTTTTCGTTTTACCATAGCTTTATAGCAAAATTACCTCGTACCGTGTCCGGCAGGTTGATACACGCCCTCATCGATAAGTTTACCCACAGGCTGGGCCATTATAAAGTGGGATTTTTTTTGTTGTTAATACCCGGGAACGAGTTGCTAGGCAGTGATGAAGTAAACGAATACCTCTGTGCTTCGGGTGCAATGAGAAGCAACGAGTGGCGACGGACAAAGCGGCTAAAGATCCCTGTCTGCACTCGTCTTGCCATGGATGGATTCTACCATAGACTCTGCAGAAAACTGAGGTTGCGACGGGTTTGATGACCCATGTAGGTGCCTCGGATGCGGGGGAGTTGTGATGATAGGTATCATGCTGCTCGTTACCCCCCTGGCAGCATCTTTAGGAAACCTGGGAAGTTTCTTAAATAAGTTTTATAAACTCAACAATACTTGTATAACTTATATGACGCAAAATATTCTAAATAGTTCTATGCACTCACTTCGCTATTGTCCAGCTGATTTATACATATAAAATTTTTGACTATTACCAGTGAAGGTGAGGAAACAACATTTGATTTGATTTGTAGTTTGGTGTTTAACACCTGAGCGATGCCAGCCGCGCAAGCCAACACGATGATTTGTTACGACGGATTACCGTTTATGGCCGCACATTTAGATCTGTTTGCCTCTTTTGTTCCGCTTGGACGCTCGCATCTGTCGGCTTAACGCCATTGTACTAACTATACGAATGTATGATAATCAATGTCGTATACGATATTTCAGCTAGATTCATATGAATAAGGAAAGTTACCCCGACTAACTGCAAGTCCGGCATGACCAAAATATTGAGTGTTTTTTTTTAGTTTTGGTTGAAGAACGCCGTTGGTACAAAAAAGTACGGCCATGCTATAGCTGTAGCTATGTATCATCAGCGATCGAGAACTGGCTCGAGTAACCAAACCTGTAGCTATGAAAGGTAAAGATAGGCAAACGGAATGGTACTTGTCGTGAAGATTACGAGCATCCTGTGGCAAAACCTGGCGCATGAATTGAAAGCAGCAGTAGGCCAAGTCCACAAGGACAAAAAGGCCAGTTGGTGTCAAGGTGTAGCTTCTTTTTAGTTAATGTGAGTGCGATAACAGTTTTAATACGATATAGGTTCTTAACCATAACTTCTTTACTTATTTTTATTTGCAGCTGGCGGAGTTGTTCTCATGTTCTGCCGAATATCTATTGGAGGTCCTGTGCTTGGCTATGTTATGGGAAAAGTGACAATTTTCCTTTTGGCAAAGGTAAGTTAGGCACTGACCTACAGAACACAGCGCCGTTGGAGAGCGGCATCAAACTGAATATATTCGTAACGTAAAGAAGCTTTCACAACTTAGAAAAAAGAGTACTTACCTAGGTAAAAAAAAACGGGAATTTCTACAAATAGAAGCGTAGACGTGCGTACGTGGCTCGTACGTATAGGTAGTACGTAAGGTTACAATTTGACGATTCTACGGTACACATGTTGCGGATATGGTACGCAGGTATTCAACGATTCGGTAATCGAGATTACCATAACGATCTCGTCGGCTTACATCGCATATTATCTGGCAGAAATAACGTTTCACGTAAGCGGAGTTCTGGCTGTTGTCGCACTTGGAACGGTACTGAGCGCCAACAAAGTTGCCATTAGCCCCGAAGTTGAAGAATTTGTGCATAGGTAAGCCAGGCACTCAATAGTAAGTTAGAGGCTTTCGTGTCATTAAGTCAGTGATCCGTCCATCAACAGGACTAGGTTCACTGAAGACGCTGAAATAGGCAATTAACATCAATACTATAAGTTCTCTATTTGAACAATAAGTAATTAACGGTAACTTCAGGAGAATAAACAAGTCAGCTGCACGCCGCGACGTAACAGTAATGATTCGAAGAACAGGTGAACGAAATCACACAAAAATATCATAAAATTTTTCCCCTATACATCTTTGCTTATTACTAACTACTATGTAAACAAGTTCTTGAGATCACCTCTTAAGTTACAATTAAAATCCAGCTTTTACTGGAACGTGTAGATGGGATGAGACTCACTCGGCCTATCAGACGCAGGCTGATAACTTGCTATCGCTGAAAATTGAAACAACGATGGCTGTACGTTCATGTTTACCATAGTGACCCACCGGATCACACCTACTGTTATAACTGTTATTAAGAGGGGCAAAGGGCTTTTTCTGCTGATGCAAAGCAGCTACGCTCAACTTCTAATCAAAGAGTAAATCAACAAGCAAGTATCTTATTTGATCGGTAATTGCCCCTGCCGCTACAGCTAAATAACTTAAACGCCTAATATAAACGCTCGCCTTTTAGATTCTATCTACACGTGCAAATAAATGCGATATATTTATGCTACAGCAGATAAAAATGACGCCCACTTTGGCATCCTCTAACTCTGTTACTTTGTTTCGACTAGATTATCTGATGACAGTTGTGGATTACGATGGATCTGTCAGACTAACGGCAAACCTGAGAGCAATGGCGGTACCGGCTGCATATATGACTTCGTATATAGTAACGCCTAATTCTAATAAACTGTTCCAACTATACTTCTAGTTTCACTTGGGCCTTTGGAAGTTTCAGCGTTGGCAGGGAAGTCATTTGAAAACAGGGAGCCGGCAACAGAGCTGATAGTGGATTCGCGCGGTCATATTGGCAGCTTATTTTTGACACAATTTGTAATCATTGTTTCAGCGTACTTTAATAGTGATCTTCTGTGCAAGCTTCACAAGTTCAGCACGCACACGTATACAGAAAGTCAGCTCCGTTGATTGCTCACCTAATGAATTAGATGTTGTACATAAAAAGGAAGCAGAACCATCCCCCGAATCCTCGAGTCAAGCTATGCTAAAAGGAATCCTCCCTAGTTAGGATCAATATGGCCAATGGCTTCGAAGGTTAGACTCAATAAACAATAATAAGTTATTGTGCTTTTAGTCACTGAATATATTAAATGAACTTGTCAAATAACGGGCTAACACAGCTTCAAAACGCTAAACATCCATAGGCACGCAGGGAAGCTTCACAAAGACATTCATACGGGAGACAATACCTACCAAGTGATATCTTCCCATCTCTAATTGATATGCTTCCCTTTGCCCCGTAAAATACGCAAAGGAATCGCTCTGTTACCTCAACGTGTTGAGCTGATGTCACAGAAAAATAAGAGTGATATAAAAAGCAGCCGGTAATTTCCCGTTGATTATTATTACATGCTAGCTGTAGTAGTGATACCTCACCGATTCGTATTAACCCTGTTCTTTGTAACGTTTATGTAGAAAGAACGATATATTTCGACAGATTGTTATGATAGGAATTCTGGAATGAATGGACATAGCGGCTCACACACGGTGAGCGCTTTAGGATTTCGATGCATTGACAAGATATCACCTAAGAAATTTCCAATGCCATGCAAAATTGCCAGAAAGAACGATCTGCGATTTTTTACTCAGGAGATATATGTGTGTAAAGACCAATCGTATAAGAACAAATGTTGCTAAACGTCTGCGTATCGCCAAGCACTATCTTAGTCTGCGCGTGTTGACTAGGGCGTAGAAAAACCTAGATAACCGGTATAAACATTCCGAATCGTCTGTCCGCCCTGCCATTAAGCACTGGATAGAGCGATAACTTGGAAATTGGTAGTGGTACGGTATATATAACTTCTTTATACAGTGTTACACATGTAGCACAGTAGCACTATAATACATGGCGGCTTCGAACGATATTCCATATCAGGAACAGCGTTCTCCATTACCGTTAGAAGATTATGCGAACGTAAGGCCTTCCTATTCTTCCTATATTTAGAGACGACTATAAGAAGAACTGAGGGTGGTGCGTAGTGCCTGCTATAGGTGAGCTTAGCTTAGTGATGGCCGTATCTGATCTTGCTACGCACAGCACTCCCAATGGCTCCACGACATTTGAATTAAAGCCAAGCTTAAGTTGTTAATGTTTCTGCTTACGCTAAATTTTCGTGCCATCTGGGCGTGCTACTATTGATCCTACACTCGTTTGAAGCCAATCTGGCGGATTATAGGTAGTCTATAGGTTACTCATTGTCGAAAATGATATTAACCTATCAGTTTAGCGCCTCTGCGTTCACGCACGTAGTTCCATAGCCCCCGCCGACACAGGGGTATATTTATGTTTAGCTGTTTTCAAGCAACGCTAAATTTCAACGACCTATAAGTCGTATAGCTGAAATTAGCGTAAAATGAAATTAACGGAAGATTAAGGTCAGGCCTACAACTAAGTCGGATTGACAGTTTGCCTCTTATAGTACGTTTGCGATGCTTAAATGTGCCTTACCTCGGTAGAAGTTGTGCCCTGATTCAGCTTTTTTTTCGTTTTTATGATTTCAGTTTCTGGGAGATGATGTCATATTTAGCGAACACTCTTATCTTCATTATCGTTGGGGTGCTCATCACCGAGCAAGCTCTTCGTTATATTGAACAAAACGACCTATTTCTCATACTTGTAACCTACATCGCGGTCACTGTGTTCCGGTCAGTATACTGATTAGGGATGAAGTAGTTTTTATTGCGTAGAAACAACGTTTAGACCCTTGCGTATGCTATATCTTACCAATGAATGCATATATGATTGAAATCACCATTTAAGCGTAGTGCTTCCACTGGTGCAAGCGTCCGTGAAAAAAGTCGTTACTTGCATAGATAAAAACATATTTATTGGATTGCCTGTGGCGAAACCTCTAGCTGAGACAGCCGGGGATTGCTGATAATCCTGCCAATGATCTATGCTATACAACACGTGCGATTTGATAAAAGCAAGCATAGTCTCACGACAGCGGCTGGATTGCCGTCGCGCACGTTGAATACGTTAAACACCGAAAACTGTTTCATGGTCTTCTGCACGTTTATCAGCCTAATTATTTGCAACATGGCCAATCACATACCACGTTAGATAAGCTTAGTAGTGTAACACATGCGTTTTCATCCGCAGATTCTTCATGATCGGGGTGCTCTCACCATTCCTGTGTCGCCTGGGTTATGGACTTCAATGGCAGGACGCTGTCGTCATGACTTGGGGAGGTCTACGAGGCGCTGTTGGTCTGGCGTTAGCTTTGTCAGTTGCGCGCAATCCATACATCGAGCACCCGGAGGTTCGAACTGATTGCCATTCATATGTAGTCGTTCACTCTATGCAAGCGTCCGCATGCTGCCGATTTGGCACGTGATCGATAGGGACGTGCATAGATGAAGTCCTTATCGTACGTGACCTGTTCCAGCGAATTTCAGAATATTCAAACCCATCAATGGACTCATTTCGTTTGCCTTTGCGTAGATTCGTGAAGAAGGCCAGATGGTGTTTTTACAAAGGGACTGTTGTAATTTATCGAGATTGCTAGGGACACAAAGCTTTGTCTGATGCGACATCGCTCAGGCACTCATGTCAAGACATTAAGCCAATGTGTAGTGAGATAGCACTCAGTTATATGCAAAGGATTCGTCCTTAAGCCCTTCTATGTTCAATATACTGGATTGAAAAAGGTCTCACTAAATATACGTACATTCGATGAGTCTTCAAGTATGATTTTAGCACTACGAAGCAGAAACATTGATTCGCTCAGTAAAGTAGGCCATTGTTGCAGCTGCTTCATTGACACACATGTCCTGTCTACACAAATATGTACTACAAATATATATTCGCATAGGACACACGAAATGACAGAAACACATTTAGAAAAAACACTCAAATTTTTAATTTGCTACCATTCGTATACAACTGTTCTATACGCGAGACTTCTCTAATTCTACTTAGGGATGTTGTTTTGAGATCGAGTCAGATTGATCGTCATACTTTAGATTCGAGACCGCGACAAAAGACGGTGTTTAATGTTTGGGGCATTCTGTTTCGTCTCCAATGATCGCGACATATTTCGCTTACTTGAAAAGAGCTTAATGTATCTCATCTGTGATTTCTATCTGCTGTATTTTAGGTTGGCCATAAGATTTTGATTCATGTAAGCGGTATCGTCATGCTGACTTTACTCGTAAATGCTACGACGACAAACATGCTACTTCGTGTTCTTGGTAAGGCACAACAAATACCTAACATCTCATCTAATGAAAATAACTGATAAATGTGCACTTAAAAACAGATCAGTCAGTAAATACAGACAAAATGCAGACCCTGCAGTTAACCCCGACGGGGCTGTTCGGTAGTGATCCGTATGTATTTGTGAGCCCCTAGAATCGGATTCCCCGTCTACAGACAGCTAACGTAATTAAAAACCAATTCGAAATTCTGCAAAGTAAGAGTATCTGGAAAAAATAACGTTGCGTTCAGAAAGGGAAGTCCGTATGAAGCTAACCTCGCGTTCGTTGTCACCGTACGCACTGTCTGTTGTTTACAGTTGTCTATGCCTACTTGTCTCTTAACTAAGATATAGCTATAATAATGATGTATTAAACACGTTCTACAAGTTGGTAGGACGCGATCAGGTTCCGTTATCAACATAATACGGATCGCCTCGCGTCATTGCCTTCGAGCACAGCCGCGTATCCCTTCGCCTGTATGGGGACGTGACCTCACCTTCGTGAGATCCCCGTATTATTATTCACTCATAGGAATTCAGATATTTCTTCTTCCACTTGTTGATTAATACTAATATTCATCAATATCATCATCACACAAATACATTTTATGTACAGTGTCGTCTTTTTACAAGCCGACCACTTCTTTTCAGCGATGGTAATGATATCAGATGGTGTTTTCGTTTGCTCAGCGCACAGCAAAGGTAGTTCCTCTCTGTTTTAGGACTTCGGACCTAAAAGAATCACAATTAATCATTCATAATGCCTATTAATATTGTTGCAATCATCACAAGTTATATAAGATCCGTGTCAGGTATCCGTGGCAAAGGTAACTGTATAGGAACTGTCTCTTCTATCAATGTATGAGACATATTTGATTACACACAATTTTCGATATGCATGCGCCTTATAGCTAATAAAGGTTACTCGCTTGAGCTTCCCCACGTAGAGAGTCCTGTAGCGTTAAACTGAATGTCACCCAAGATATGTGTGAAGATTATTCCTGGGTAGGATTATTGTCTGTTTGTAGCTAAAAACCTTCGTCCCTTTTTTCGCAAGGTTTTTTTCTTTCGTTCACACACATATATATATATACTAGAAATAAACAGATCAAATCGTTGCCCCCAATTAGAGTCCAACAACCATTATTATTAAAGCGATAACACTCATTATCAGTTGTATTCAATTCTGTTACTTTCGAAGTGGGGTTCTCCCTTACAAGTGGCCCTTTAATTAGCATTTCCGACTCACAGTTCGATCGTTTTGTGAACCCGAAGTTCGGCATAACCGAGTAGTCTACGCTTCCATTGTCGAGGCCGGTGTATACATCTATAAGTTTTTCTATCTTCCTAACTCACTGCTTAAGTCCCCTAGTTCGGCAATTCAATACACTGAAAACGTATTTTGATATACGGTAAAAAAACATGTAAAAACTACGTGCCAATTTTACTATCGTTGCTATCCGAAGCATTCATTGAAGCAGTACCAACAAAATGCCAAATAATACCTGAACCTCAAACAATAACTTATCATAAATTAGCAATGTAGTGAACTTTTTCAGTTAGTTCATTCCTCCTTTATAGCCTGTGATATGCGCATGTTCTATTAGGCGTTCCTCCGAGACGAAACGCATCCACTTGGTTTGGTTCTACCAAAAACTTCGAAGACGAGCTGCGGCAATGGCGAGGTCCGCAGCACTGATTTACTGACCCCTTCCTCATCTTCGAGGTCGCCTAGTCCTCGTTACGCTAGCCAGATGCTATATTTGTCTTTATGATGATTGTACTAGATCCTTGTTACCATACCGTAAGGAAGATTTACATCAATTGTCTATTATTGCTAATCATGTATTTACTTCGCAAGTAGCATGAATATAGTTTTTCTACTATCGTACTTAGAATCAATAGAAGAGTGGGGTGTTCTGTTCGGTTACCGAACCGCTATACAGGAGTTAGCTTACGTAACGAGTTGTGCTCACGCGCGATAAGGTCACTTGATTTTTTCTGCACCCAAAGCACGCCTCAGCGAAAATAATATTAACTATTAAAATAATAATAAATTACATATTGCCAAGAAGAATATATATATATATATATATATATATATATATATATATATATATATAATTTAGTCGGACTAGTCTATTTGACTTGAATCTACTATACGAATCTGTTTTATGTGGCGTTCGGGAAGACTTTAGTAAAAAGGATAATTTTGTTGCTAATAGGATGGATGACTTGCATGCAAGAGAGCAGACCTTGATGAGAATTTCATAAAAAGATGGGTTGGTTGGGCAAAGAGGGTCCACAGGATACCCCGTCCGTTTCCCAGTTCCGAGGCCAATTAGCTTTTTCTTCGTGGAATACCCTAGAGATAAAGCGTACACGAGAAAAAGGCTAGACAAATGTAAAGGCTTTAATTGAGTTTGTGAGCCAAATGACCTACCGTAATCGTAACTCATAGTGCACTGACCAGACCCAAATTAAATTTATAGATTTTTTGTAAGTTCTCTTGCAACTTGAATGTTAATTGTACGTTAATTAAAAAAAAAAAAAAAAAAAGTTGTACTATGCATGCATTTTGGAAACACCCTTTATATATGTGTGCATATATATACACAGAATACAACACAAAGCTCACAAATTGATATTTTTATTTCAATGTCCACATTCGCATGTAAAACTGGGATAACTTAACCAGCCCTTTATAGGGATATCGATGGCTGGATGGAATCGAATACGTGAAGATCAAAGAAAGACAAAATACTAGATGTCATCAGATACATCAGGTCGTCTACAGCACGCGGAAAATACATGTTTCCATTCAGAGTCATTGGACAGGTGCGCGAAAATGCACCGAATGCAAAGATGCGCTTACAGACAAACAAAAACACAATATTTTACACGCTAGATAGATTAGTGAGTAATAATCTGGTTCGTTGTTTGGTTACTAAACGTAAAAACGCCTCATATAATTTAGGATCGAAATCGAAAGGCCATGCCTAAATAAGTTCAGAATTAAGATTTGTTCCGTGTTAGAAGCCAGCAGTCTGCATCAATAATTCGTGGCAATAGCAGACCATTTAGTACTACTTTTAGTATTCCTGATATTTCTGTAAAATCAAAACTTCCGGTCTTATTTTTCAGGTATGAACGCATTGTCCTCCTGGAAACGCGCCAACATGAGAAATGCTGTCAATTTAATAACTGACGTACAATATCGAGCGGTGGATGTCACTAAAGATGACGTATTTCTCGGCGACGCCGACTGGACGTACGTTAAAAACTACATCGAAATCTGTGATCCCTATGAGGAGAAGGTGGGTGGCGTAGTAAAAGGCCTGTTTATCAGCAAATGATGTAGCTATTATTGAAGATAAAATCCAGAGTAGCTCCTACGCTAGCTGAACGAAGCAAAAAAAAAACGGCTAACTATCTAATTGGTTCTAGAAGGCAACTTTTGTTTCGTGTGCCCTGTATTTTGTTGTCCAGGGAGAAATGTGGGTATCAATGAAATGCATCGGCTTTAGGTACGTTTTATGTAAAACGGCAATAGCACTAGGAAACTTAGATTTTTACTTTCTGATACTCTGATCAGACGATAGGCTTGTTTTCCGCAGAGCTTCTGGTTTAAACGCACCGTTAACGTATCGTGTCTAAACGTCCTTTGACTCTGCCTGTTTTCGTTTGGACTCCATCTTTCCAGGAGATACAGGAGTCGTCGGAGAAGAGTTTCAAAATGGCGAAAAAGCGACGTTCGCAATCAATCATGTTGCGCCAGGCAGATCTGCCTCAACAGCATCTTTGCGCCGACTGCGCCGATAAACACTTATGCTTTCCATCGCTGCAGGACCATGAAGACCTACTTAATGAAGCACGTCTCCGACTTATTAACGTTCAAAAGGTCGGTGTATGCATGGAAATTTACTATTTGACACTCTATGGTATCCTAAAGAGCAGCTCCGAATGGGTTAGCTTCGCTTGTCGGTCTCTGAGATGGTTTAATGGGCCGTTAGTCGTTTGCAGGAACATATAACAAAGGCAGTATAGGACGCTGAGGTCGAAACGTAGAAGTCGAGTAAAGGACTTGAAAGGACGTAGAAATAAGTGGTGTCTCCTTTAACAGATTCGATTTACTGTCGTCTCCTACTGATATCATGTATCATGGTAACACCATATGCCATGAGATGGTATGCCTGTACATGTACATACCACATCCATTTCTAATTGTTTAGTACGTTTATTAAGTTCTATGTAGTTTTGGTAGGCAATATGCCCGCAAAATAATCTGGCTACATGTTGGAACAACAATAACAAGAGACTATTGTGTCTGTTACACTCACGTGCATGATTAATTCGACGACATTTTTACACAGGTCAACTACTGGCATCAATTCGAAAAGGGTCTCCTACTGCGCGAAAGTGTTCTAACTCTTGTACGGGCAGCAGATGTTGTTGCCGATAAACCTGGTGCCTTCTTGACTGTATCTGATCTTCGATCCAATTGGGAGATTCACGGTGTGCATCGATGGCTGGTAAGAGTGTAACAACGATCCGTTTATTAAGACGCCAGTCTCTTTCAGTTCATGTGTGTTTTTCTATGTGTCTAAAGGAATTGGCCTAAAAAGGCCTGTCTGGCCTCTAATCGTGGACAGACTTCCGTCGAATTTACGAATTCAGTTTATTTTCTACTTAGCGCTGAGAAATCTGTCATTACGCAGAACATTTAGCTGTTTAACCTTCGTCTGTTTCTTGTATGCGACATTGTGCTCCATAGCAAACGCACTTTGTCAACAAGATCCAGGCTTGGAATGAAAGCATGCGGAACTCTTCGGAAAGTAAACCCCTTAGTAGACGCTATCATCGAGTTGTTGCTGATCCGTATTTCCGTTTCTTCACGTCGCTGGTTGTTCTCGTCGATATGATCTGCTCCGTTATCGAATTCATTCTACGATTGCATCGGTTCGTATTAACAAAACACAAAAACGTATAAACAAATAAAATATCACATGTAGGTAGATCACAAACACTATGCCCAGAACACTTCCAGATGAACTGTAGACACTGCTAGTTATGTTTTTTTAACTTATGTGTTAGAAAATCATGTCCAATTTTGCAATAATAATTGTTCATTTAATTATTTAATTAGTACGTTACAAACGAGCGGATATCCTTCGGCAGAACAAGGGCAAGTTTGGGAATTAGAATTAGAAAATTGTGATACTGACTTCTATATATATATATATATATATATATATAGACTTCTATATATAAAGCAGGTTCATACGAAAAGAAAAAGGAAGAAGTTATCTAAGAGTGTATATCGTTTTAATCTATATATTTCTCGTTCCCATCAAAATGCACGCTCATATAAGTATTAAAAATCTGACATGTGATGCTATACTGATTTTGTTTGTGTTTCTGAGTGGCAAGCTTGTAACAAGAACAAATCGATTGGTCACAACAAAAAGCAGTAACAATACTGAAACAGATAAAAACGCTTTGTTTTCAGGGAGCCTGAAAACCTGACGGTGCGAATCTTGCGCTTTACTAACGTCGCATTTGTGGCTTTCTACGCTGCCGAAGCTATTTTAAAGGTATGTACTCGTACCCACATCATTGGGAGATCTTAGTCGTATGACCCCCTATATATATATATATACATATATGAACAAATGTATAAAAACACTACCAATGAATCTCGTTACAGAGAGCGATTCATAAACATCTAAAGCTATTTGCGTCTGCTGCTAGACGTTAGGGTAGATCTAATACTGATGCCTATTTGAATTTTGTTTGACTATTCTTACCGTTATAGATGTTAACGTATGGATTCAAGCCGTTCTTTTCGACACGCTGGAATCGAATGGATTTCCTTCTTCTGATAGTCTCCGTTATGGCGGCGTGCCTGGAGATGGTGATCGAATTGCTTGGCACGTTCCGTAATTCTCCGTATGCCCTACTCATTCGGTTCAGTCGACTTCTCCGTCTCCTAAACCTCAATAGACTTCTCCGAATTCTTCTGGTAGATTACATAAGAATGTATTTGTATTTGTAAGCTACAGCCATTTCCACCTAGCTTTGATACGAGTCTATTTGGGTAAACGTAGTAGATCAACTTGCCTCAAGTAGACTCGACAGGGCTATGAAATCGATATAAGGCGATAGCATATAAAATGTACATATATTCTTCGCATCATGATATTCGTAGAGTGTATACGTACACATTAGGCCAATGAGGACTCATATTAATGATACTGATTAATATCTATAGCCGATAGGAAACAAAATCGCTCGTTGGGTTAACGATAAAATTAATGAGAGGATAACAGCCGGATACGACATTGGCAGAGGGTTCGAACTTGGCCAGCTTGAAGTAAGTACCTTCATCACGCATCTACCTGTATGCGAGCAGTGTTTACGTTCACAAAATATAGTAAATAACAGAGGCGCAAAGGCGGCCTATTCTATAGCACAATCGTTGGGGGCATAGGTAAGCAGTAAATATTGTTGCAAGATTGATACTTTTACAATAGGTTCCTAGTTATTTGAGCGGCTAAGAGTACACTAGTTCGTGAAGGTTACTCGAGCAAAGGAAGGAGGAAACATTTAAGGTCTAGTTTTTATTAGAAGTTTATACTAGTTCAACTTTATTTCTAGGTGAGTCGAGTTGTCGACCGGATCGTTCATTACAAACCGATAGCAGAAAGACTTCAACAGATATGTAATGAAAGCCGTCTTGATGTGAGTATGCGTTTGCATGGTTCCCTAGGCTATTGACTTAGGAAGAACGACATACGCTTATCGATACGTTCTTCTGAAATGGGAATTGCGATAAAAACAAATACTGTTAGTATAAAAAGAAACACCAGCAATATTAATAACCCTGTCTGAATTGTTTAATTTTTTTTAGTATCGTGGGAAAATTTGGACGCCCCAATCCTTTGAAGTAGATAATGGAGTTAAAGATATCAGGCACAAAATGAAGCAGTAAAAATGGAAGGACAACCATGAATTTGTATAGCAATTAACATATGTTATTAGACGTTTATGCGTGCAGCCAGGTTCAAATAGGCCTTTGGCTGTCCAGATCTTTGATTCAAAAAGATAGTTACAATTTGATAAATAGTAAGGGTAACATTGTTGGAACATGTATACGATGTACCCGGTAAACTTATCGTATACGACAGCCCAGTAGGTAATAACAAGATAGGCGCACTACTGAACGCGTTGTAGACTCCTTTGAGTGACAAATGCGGAATATAGTTTGTTGAAAGAGTAGCTCTTCATTTTTAATCAATATTAAATTGAAAAAACATCTAATAATTCTACATAATGTCTAACAAAACAGACATCTTAGTAAAACGCGGACATACAATGCATTCCATTTATAAGCATTTGCCTGCAACTTACTACTGTAGATGGTGCGTGAATTAGCCTACCTCCAAGACCGCTATCCTGATATCGCAGTAGCTGTAAAAACCCGCCGAGCTGCTCGTCACATACTTAATACGTCTCGCAGTGAACTAAATGACTTGAAAAAGGGAGGCCTTCTAGACGATACCGTGTACCAAACTCTGCATCGGAAGATACAGGTAGGAGAGCTGTGCGGAAATAACGAAAACGATACCTGCGACTCAGATAAACTATACCCGCGTAGATATTTTGTCTCTAAGATTTGTCCTTCAAGCGAACGTTGGCATCCGTTTAACGCACCTGAGCGAAGGCATAAACCTAAATGTTGCCTTGTCCATTATAGATGAAAATGATGCATTTACGGTGCGCACCATCACGTATGGATCCACGACCGGCAGTTCAAACCCTAAAGAACTTGAGTTGGATAGCAGGTAATGAGGAGACTTTCAGGTTCTTCAGGGAGAACGTCACACTTCGCCACCTAATGGCTGGCACGACACTGTGTCGACAGGGCGATATATCTGATGGATTGTATCTTATTATCGTAGGAGTTGCTAAGGTATTTAATACAGTATTGTTAACTGTTAAGTTAATATACATATATATATATATATATACACACACACACAACGACATTAAAAAACATCGACCCTCTACTTTACATTTTTATTCATATATGCAAATATATAGTTGATATAATAACAAAACGTTCTTGTTTTTTTTCTAACGATGCTCGTACTTGTTGGTGTTAATCGTTTTTTGCTTCGTGTAGGAGGAAGGCCAAGTGCAGTTGGACCGTATCAATGGAGGCCTTCCAGTCATCGATTCCTACCACTGGTTCTCGTCTGATGCTACTCACTCAGCTAACCCTTCCCAGTTAAAAGGCAAACTTCACCCTAAGGGATTTAACGACAGTTATTTCTCTTCATGACAACTCCAAACGATAGATTACAAGTAGAAGCTCCACTTTTATTATAAATACTGTTTTTATACATACTTAAAGTAACGATACATCTCTACAATTGTATGATGTTATGTAGATATTCTAACAACAGGAAGCTGCATCGGAGAGATCAGTTATCTAACGAAAAGGCCCCGAGATACAAACGTGATCTGTGAAACCGACGTTAAGGTTTGTTACAATTTAGTTCATCAAAATGAGAACTAGATATGTATATAGTATAGATTATGTGCAGTATATATACAGAAGAAAAGATATACGCTTTTCTTTTTAAGTTTCGCATTTCTACATTTTCAATTATTAGTTTGAATGTAACTTCTTCCCTACCTAAAATAGAACTGTAACGCCAGAAGTTAAACACTTACAATATCCATGAATCCAATTTTTAGGTTCTGCTCTTACATAACCTGTACTCCCTCTTGTTTACTATAGGTTTACCACATCAAGGGTCAGGTTTTGGATGCAGCGTTTCTGTTTCAGTCGGGTGTTCAAGGGAAATTCGTTCGCTCGGTAGCATTACGTATTTCTCGAGAAATTCTGTCGATGGAGGCAAAATGCGAGGTAAAGTACAATTGAATAGCGCACCTATTTCCACATAGGTGAAGCGTTCGAATCTAGATATGCGTGCTAATGTGTTTTACAAGGGTCTTCCTCAAAAAAAAAATTACTACCACAGGTAAACTTCGCGTGTAAGCTATTAGTGTAAAGGCATAGAGAATGATTATGATCTGAGACATCAGATCGTCGAGCCTTAACAATGAGCAAAGAGGCGCACGAATGTTCCCAGTGTTGTAACAGGACCACATGTGGGACCACGCAGCCAGTGGCGCGTGTTTTGCCGTTTCCGAAGTAATGTTTAATCAGACTATAGACGGTAGACTTTAAGAGGTCGTATGGATCAGAATCCACCATGGGCAATCGACTGTACCCGATAAGAAAAGCGTACAAGTGGCAAGTTAGTCGGCAGAGTTCGGTAAACACGTGGGTTTGTTAGTTTCCACTGCTGCCGAGCTAGCTTTATTGTGATTGTTTGAATCGAATTGTTGTATATGACGGGGAATGGTTTCGATACGACAACTAAACGTTATTTTTGTTTCAAAAGATGAGCCTATCTCGGCACATCCACAGAAAACAAACTTCAATTATGTGTTTGCTAAACCAGTTTCTCTCAAACTTGGCGAACACATTACGGGGAAACTATATAGCTGAAAATAGAACGCCTTAGCCTTAGGCAGGACTGACACAGGTAGCGAGAGTGATTTGGATCAGCTGCGACAGAAATCATTAATATATCCATCCACCTGGTCTCATTTTTCGAGCACGAGGGTAAAAATGTTGATGGACGCGCTATTTATTCGTTGCCTGGGTACACATCTGTAGAGAGGAACCATTTTTCTGTATTAAATGGGCCTAAGCTGCGTACTGCTTCTTAAGCTTTTTACATTATATGTTATTTAGCGAAATTATCGCACTACTCACGCTAAACAACCAGTTTTACAATGGGCCGAATTTTTAGGCCACAAGACGCGTGCGTCGGTGTGCTTCATGCATAGCGTTAATTATCAAACATAGGTACCTGTAAGTTCAAAATTAGAGACATCATTCGATTTAAAGTCGATTCAACAATAAGGATCGTCATTTGGGCCTATCGTAAACGTTATCCTCAGATGAAAGTGGCATTTAGGCTTCACATAAAAGTACAGGTTTGGATCCAAATGCCAACAGGGTGATGCGTATTGATATCCCTATACGCGTTTGCTATAGTATAAGCTTATTATTTAGTGTACACGGCTGTGAACGGTATTGACCGGATGGGCGAGCGACGTTAGGTCCGTTCTAGTCAATCGGCGCCATAGGTGACTGATATTCGTAGATTGTTCGTCGAAGAAAAATCGCTATGATGCCGCTAAGTGGTCATCTTATACACGAGCTCCTGCAGACCTCTCTGGAAGACTGTCTCTAAGTAGGGCGGTAGTTTTAGGAAAGTATGTCATTGATCGGTGAACATACATTTGTGATTTAGGACTAAGTTGTACTGGTCTGATAAGTTGAATTTTATTACCGTGTTTATTCTGATTCAGTGCTACTGTCTCGTTGAGGGAATTGCAAATCAGTATCTGTATCGATATGTCCTTTATTGTGGTAGACACGCGCGGTCAAGCGTAAGTAGATATATTGTTTTTTTTCACTGATTCATTGCTATTCGACGGCGGGTACTTGTCGAGGAAGAGAGAAAGAAAATTTTGTTGGGCCCGAATAGTCAACACTCGTAACAACTGGGTTAATACTAACCAAACGTGTATTTATGTATTCAGGCCAGGTTACGGGTTCACAGAAAATCCATTACTATAGAGGTAAAGACATTTAACATTTTATATCCGCAATTATTTTGCTTTGCACAGAGCAGCAGTGTAGCCCTTAATACTCGAACTACTACTACTAGAAACCGGAACACGTTAGATTGTCGAAAAAAGTATTGACCGTTTTACTAGCTGGATGCTTTTAAAATTACCTTTCTCAGGGTCGCGGTGATTGCTGTTATTTGCTTTTAGCTGAGATACGGCGATAGCAGATTATGTTGGAATGCCTTGAGGATGGATGAAATTTTTAATATATTTTACAGTTTTATTACGATAAAGGCTTCAGGCTCATAAAAAAATTATTGATGATACGTCCGAAGGAAATGATTACAAGGTCCTTCTCTCATTCCCGTTCTGGGAAATTCGATATTAAAGTTACCCCTTGTACCGGTTGACCGAACACGAAAAAGTCGATAAAATTATTGCATAATAACACCAAGAGACTGAACATTTACCACGAAGCAGCTTTACACCATTGGAAAGAAGCTGGTTCGATGTTTAGGTGGCACACATTTGACACGAAATCGTTTGTTCTATTGTATTTTCACCTGTGGAATTTTGGTAAAACGTAATGAAATCAGGCCATTTTTAAACTGGTTGATCACGGGTGACGAAAAGTGGATCAGATTCGACAGTAATATGCAGGTAAAGAAAAAAAAATATGCTCCACAGTTTGTTGCGAGGCTCAGACTGACGCCTAAGAAGGTTAACCTATAGCTTTGGTGGGATTTGAAGGGAATCGTGCAACTGAGCTGTCGGCGCCTGCTAAAACGGTCGAGTCGGACCTCCGCTATAACTAGAATAAATTAATAAAAAAACTATTGAAAAACAAAACGTTCGCAACTAGTTAACAGAGAAAGCATCGTATTCCATCATGACATTGCCAGACGGCCTATATCTTTAGCTATCCGACAAAACTTGGAATAACTTTTTTCAATATCACACCAGAGCTCGCCGAAAAAGCAACAGAACAGAAATTCCGTAATGATAGGATTATGCTATGACCATAAATACAGCAGAAGGTGGAAATAATGATATGTATTTGTTTTAGTAGTACTCATTTAATATGCTTCAATTTTGCGCTTAAAACGGTCAGTACTTTTCCGCAACCCGATAATCTGAATGTATAATATAGTCGACTATATATATGAAACCATATGCAGAACGTCACCAGTGCAATAAGCGGCTATCGGGGGCAAGCCATCAGTGGTGAATCTTTGTCTGTTTCTGCATTTAAACTTTGTCCTCGGACAGCGCCTTGCACCTATTACCGATCACTACATCGGTGATGCCACTGCTTTCGTATACAGGGAAGCTGGGCCACCCCTGAGTGCTTCAGACTGCTCCCCTCATCAGACTGCTTGTGATCAATCGAATTGCATGCGTGATTGCATAAATATTCATGTTTCAAATACATTGAGAGTACTGTTTGTGGCATGAAAGAGTTTAGGAGAGCTCCCTAAACCTGCCATTCGTAGTCTAAATACAAATGGAATTATTTTAAGTATCAAAAAAAAATAGGTACGCGGTGAATGGCGTATCTACATAGTATCATATGGCTATTGAAGTCACGTATAAAAATCAATATGATCTATTTTGACGTTTGCGGTCTTCAAGAATTGTATGTTTCTCTTGCGCAATTTGGAAGGGTCTATAATATGAATATATATTTGAAAATGTAAACATTGTACAACTTGTATGAATAAAGAAGCTATTTTTTAGATTTGGTCTCTTAGAGCTGATTTAAAGGGATCTTAAAATTGCTACAGCATGTTAACTCAAGTGTATTTCTCTAATCGAGGAACAGTAGGACGTGTTTAGGGCACGTTACGATCGGATGTCTTCCGTGTATTGGCATACAAATAGCATGAAGTTATATAGATATTATATAATAGCATCGTGTATGAATAGCTTGTTGAGCTTTCTTGATCAACAGACTGGTACTTGATCTCGTGTTTCCTTTTCGTGAATGTTCCAGATCCTGTTGATTAAAAAAATTTTTCTTCGCAGCGAATAAGTTTTAATCAGGTATTTACAAGTTTTCTTTTCACGAAGAGTCGACGTAGCCATTGTGTTTGAACTTAAACCGTTCGGTCTGTTGCTCTCTTGTATTTGCCTTCATGCCGACAATAGGACTGGACGACGAACAAAATCATGTTACACCTCGACGAGGCCATCGTTCACGACCTTTCCTCGCAGAAGGTACCGTAGCAGGACGCCATAATTAGAAGAAACGATAACAGTTAGCAAGTACACCCCCTGCTTTAGCTTTGCATTTATACAAGAAATGATGTTGAACCTCGTGCTCTCCGCTAACTGTGTGTTAGTATTAAATTACCTCTTCTGTGAACTTTAATGCTTCACCACACTCTTGCCTAGACAGCCTGGATAATATAATTTTAACATAACTATATTGAAAGTAAGGATGATTTTGGTCTCTTAGAAAGTCTCATGTACAGAAACATTTGTAGAACTAAAAAATATTCCTCAAAGCACGTACCTGAGGCACGTTTAGCACAAGTGGGAATATTACATGTGTTTACACAAGGAGGATGGGAATACTTTTTAAAATCAATTGGAACATATTGTTTTCGTTTACGAAATTATTCCTAGTGTGCGTTCTACAATAGAGTGGTATTATGCGCGCGAATTTATATACATATATATATATATATATATATATATATATATATATATCACAAAAAAAAATAGGTAATATTTCTTTTCAGCGACGCTGAGCTTACCTGTCCCATTTCCAGTTACATACCGATATTTTTCTATATTCAAAGATATTCAACGTTCTGCCGGGTACAGAGGACGTCATTCTAGTGCAGGGCTGCGCATCCGATGGATCTGGCAACGGCGATACGTACTGCGGGCCCTGTTACGTGCCGAAAACGGTCACTTCGCTTAAGTTTGATGTTGGTATTTATTGAATGATAGTAAATAGGCGAACACAAACGTGTTGCTGGCTCCAACTCTGAAATTTCTCATGACAATAACTTCGATTGAAAATATCAAACTCTCTACTGTAGAAGTAGTACGCGTGGCATACAAATTTGGCGCAGTAGATAGTGAAAAATTTCAGTTTACCTAGCTGAACGGAATGACCAGTCAGTCATACCACGTCGGTAGCTATATACGTTTATAAGTATAAACATAGTAAATTGATACTGAGTTTAGGTACGAAGTCGATCAAATAGAACTCAACCTGTATCACCTATTTTCTCGCAGATGATTGCGGCACATCTGCCGATTTTGGTAACTGTGGGCGGTACAGAAACCGAAGAGGGTACGCCCGGAACAGGCAATCCCCACTTACACGGCGGGCCGCATGGACTTTTCTTTTCGAGTGGATGGGCTGAAAAAGTACGTTAATGACAGCACATTTTAATTCTTACATACGCGTTCTTCGTCGTAGATATTTTTTTGGTTAAGGTTGCAACATCTCAACACTATGGTCTCTGTGTTGGAGTATAATTTAACGGGTCGACGTGGTGTGGGCAGCAAATGCGCTAATCTTGTTCACGAGTGCTGGGCAAAGCGACCGCAAAGTGATCGCTGTAAAGGAATCATATGTACAGGGGAAAAAAATTGGGTCTTAGTTGTGGGTTTGCGTGCTTTTTTATAGGTCTCTTTGAAAAATCCGGCTAGGTAAGTCCAGTGAAACCCATTTCTAGATTTTAGATAGAACAGGTCTTTGATGCTATACCTAAGAGGTGACTCCGAGAACTTGCTCACGCAGAAAAGATGGCTGGAAGTGAAGAAACGACAAAATGTATACCGCTTGTTGACGGGTAGGGAGAAATTACAAGTAATTGACTAACATACAGTGTAATGATATCTCTACAATGGTACAGCGGCAACGTTACTTTCTACTTAACTCTGGGACATATAAATTTTCGGTTCAAATCCTGAGCTAGACGTGTTTGTTTCGGGCTGCTGGAGGTTAACCGTCGGACGTTGTACTAACGTAGTACCGGAGATAAAGCTTGATCTATGAATTCTATTTGAAAAAACGTGTTATTAAATCTACGTTGATTCGACGTCATTTTGCGACAAGCTTACATTAAGGAGTCAAATGATTTAAAAACATGTCATCGAGCCTCAACTAGAAATCGAACTTCAACAGGGCTTCATATGAGGTTCCGTTGAACTTCGATTTTAACGATAAACGCACGCCAAGTCCCTTTCGGATCATCTAGCGTGACATTTCTCCAATGCGCACCCACTTAAAACGGACTATCTTAAAGAGGCGAACTGCTTCTTGTACGGATTTCCATTCATATTCTATAATGTATTTCGATAAAGGTGCGGCACCTATCCGTCTCATCACAGTTCGGCAAAGGACATTATCGGGGTGGAGAGCTGGGGGAAATAGTCCGAAAGGTATGTGTGAATGGTTGCTAAACAATTCAAATATAAGAAATATTTTATAGTAAAATTATATGGAAAACCTTATCATATATGATCAAGAACGAGGATTGCTTACGTAGCATAATTATTAAAAGCTATTAGGAAGCTTTTGGACGTCGAAGAAGATAAAAGAAGGGGTCCATGTAGCGTTTAGCGACCAGATTTTACTGAGGCCAAGCTCCATTGAGCTTCCGGTTGGGCCCCGTTTGGCCATATTGAATTTAGCGAAAAAAATATATAGATGTTATTTATGTAGATTCATTCAAATGCAAGTGGTACTGATAAACACGTTTGCGCATATAAAATATCTAACTATAATTGACGCGGCTTAGAGGTTGACATAATATTTAAATATAATATTCTTTGAGAGTTCAGTGCAAATGAAGTACAGACATTGAACAAATGAGAGAACGTCAATTTGTCCCAATGTAGTTAGGGTAACTGGCATTTGGCCAAGTGCCCAGCTGGGTGTCCTATTAGTTGAGACCTACTAATAGCTTTACACCACGTTGATATACTGCTAGAAATAAATTTAATTACTATAAAAAAAACTGCGTAAAACGAAAAAAAAATGCTCAATATATCTTTGTCGCGGTAGTTCCAACTTGTCGTGGGACAACCAGCGTAGCTAGAAACCGTACTCATAATAAGCATATCTATTGACGCATGCCCATTTCGTCACTGAATTCATATATCTTATATGACTTCTATCACTTTCTAAGTATGACATAATCTAAAAGACGCCTTCGCTGATACAAGTGACTTTAACGCGATTTCCAGCGCTCGTTTTCCGAGCATTCCACCAGTACGCGTCACCTCGTGGCAGCCCGTTCGAAGACCCTGGGCGCCCCTGCTTCACTCCCACTTAGCGCGGCAGAGCTCGAGTTATGTGAACGTGCTGAATCTGTCGCTGAACTGCCGAAACACAACATGGTACAAAGAACGGTCCAGCGTCACGGCTGGCACGTAAACAAGTTGAGCAAATACGCTACTGGAACTAACTGGCCTTTGGAAAATCTGCAAAAGTGTGACGCCACTAGTGAAAATCACTATAAAATACGCTGATTCACACAGCCTTTTACATTGGAGTTTAGTAACTTATTGAAAATGGTCAATAAATTTCAGTTGCATAAATTTTTATAGACAATACGAGATTTGAAGCGTTCGGTAGATTAAATAGTAATTAAGAGGCATTATTTGGATGGATTTCAGATAGATTGATATATATTTCAGATAGATGATATATATTGGCTTATCTTGAAGGTGACAAAGTTGCGTGATTTTTCAAAGGTTCTGTTGATTGCACCAAAGCTCTATTAAAATACCAGACACGGAAATTGCACTATTTAACAAAGTAGAAAAGCATGATAACCTATGGTGATGCATTGCTCAGTTAATTGAGTTTATTTAGGTCTTGTCTGGAATCATATGGTACATCTTGATCGTATACCACAACGCTTCAGTTTCATATTCCCATTATCGTTTCTTCGTCCGGTGCAGTCTGAATCTACGGATGATCTTCGGGTCGAAGCTGATTTATAGGTTTTCTTCGAAAATCAAGCTTTTTCTCCTCAACAACTGATTCGAGACAAGATCCAATGCTTGCGTGGGAAATACTAAACGATGTCGAAAGAAATAGCACAGGACACAGACAAATCTGCTTGCGCTTAACATGTTCGGCTTGAGTGCACTTGTTGAAGTTTCATTTCTATTAACAGAACATAACGTTCAAAAATAACCGTCAGGCTATTTTCTCTTATTAGCCGTGGATGGTAAGTGGCAGTCTTCGAGGGAGGTTCAATATGGCTGATACGATGCACCCCATCTCTGCTCCGTCTACAGCAACAACAGAGGAGGACGGCAAGCAAATCGGCCGTCGGGACCACATCAATCACGGATTCGAACCAGACTCATGCAGTATTGTCTTTAATTCGGTCCGTCTACAGTAAAAAGAAACTATGTTCTCACAATCTTGAATGCACAATAATGATAATAATAATTAAATTATAGTTTATATAGTTGTTTATTAAATGTAAACTCGTCCTATTGCTTATTATCTCGTAGTTTCTTGAGTCACCTTAAAGTTATGAAACAAACTTGTCACTTATTTCGTATACCAGAATATAATTACTGTTGAATCAAAGAGATTATAAAACGAAGGATTATATTGTAGAATTTTGATCTATCAATCATCAATTGATGACAGCATTAGTGAACTTACGGCTGACGCGATCACTCGATTTGGATTTTGTTACATTGGCATTTTAGGAAGACGAGACGGAGAGTGGTGAAGCAAATATTTTGAACGATGTCGGAAATATTGATGAAGACGCCAAGTCTGAAACACTGTCCCAGCGCTTGTAGTTAGCGGAAGGTAGGTACAGCATAAAGAGAACTAGGGGGCGCTGGTAACTTGTTCAGATGACATGATCCCGCTATATTAGATGAAAATACAAGTCTGCCGCACTACCGTCAACTGGAATATATTTTCTAGGGTTGTTTCCTACCAGAGGTCTCGACTCCGTTCATTAGCGCATGCACAGGGTATAGTTTCTTTTGACATACGATGTGGCGGCATATTTTGTAAATCGATAAGTTGAACTTTAAGTAAAGTATTTTCGAGAATATTTGACCACCCATAGTTCCAAACTTGAGCTGGCGGCCCTATCTGGTAGGGGTGGTATGACCTATCCGCTTCTAAAATAGGATACTGTAATCGAAATAATGAATAAAAAGTAATTATTTTTGCTTTCTTAACACGAGTTGTATGCGTACCTATGCTGACCCGTTGGCGACTTCAAACCCTAAATATATGCTATATTATAATCCACAAGAGGTTAAGTAGGCAATTGTACGAAGGCACATTTCAACAACCGTTCCAACTTTGTTTATTGCAGACAGCAGCCGGGTGGTTGGAGTGGCAAGAATATGGCATCTACTGCGCCGAAACCAAAGCCAGAACCACGTCGCCCTTGAAGAAACAAACTGACGACTTAACTCTTCGTTTTACTGGAAGATCTACAGGGAGATACTGCCCACCTGTTTCAATGCCAGCAGGCGATAGAATCGTCGACCCTTGCGTCCCTTATCGCGTAAATCAATCCGCATTCTCCATAAACGCGCTGTACAAGCAGGGGAATACGGCAGTCCTGTTGATGCGGCGTTCAAAATCACGTGGTAGATTGGAGTGATCTATTAATAAAGAAGCTGACCCAGACAACCTGAAGGGGCCGAGGAATCAATACGCTGAGATAAGCTGGCCAATCGAGTTAACTGATCGCATGTCAGATAAAATATAGAAGCAATTAATTAATTATCATCTGTTTGTTAGATAAAATATAGTAGATAGGTAATAATAGTTGTTCGTTATAATCATTATTATTTTGTCACATATGTAAGGAATTCAGATATTGCCTCTATTGATATTTCTCTGTGAATATATCGATTTGCACTTAATCCTAATTGTGCCGAGCAGCATCTTCAGCTTTATTCAACATGATGGAGCTAAAGAGCCACTTATGATAGCGGTATGCTACATCATAATGTGCGATAGTGATGATCACTTCATTTTTCCTCATATCATGATTTTGCTATCATCAAGGACAATAAACAGTCTTCAATAAACATGTTTCTCGAATCGAGCATCACCGTGTCGAGACGAACGTATCGTAATGTTAAACTATCGTTCTTTGTTAATGTTGATGTTCTTCGAAATGACCACTTTATAGCCCCTTCTAATATGTTAGTCTTTGATAGACTATATATATATATATATATATATATATATATATATATGAAAGGATAAATGTTTTTTTTGTATTAGTTTAATATATCTTGTGCGGTCGTGCTATGATGATCTTATGTTTTGAATTGCCTGTGTGACAACTGAGTGCTGATGACTGAATGGCCATTTATTGATCGCACACATGACGCTGTGTCCAAAGTTTCAAGCAAACAATGTAATGATGACTGAAATCAGGCGAAGTAAGATAGATGAGAATCTATTTGTCGTGATGATGTGAAACTCTGTATGATGTTTTGTCAGGTTTATAGAAATCCAAAGGTATCCAGGACCTAGGCACATGGCATCGGATGTCTGACTCCGATACATGACAGAGGGTCGTGTGTACGCTTATAAAGGATGAACTTTGTGGGAGGTTCACGCTTAACTTGAACCGATAAGCGGCACCTCTAATCGCTGACGCTATTATCATTATATATGTGTAAGAAAATCGGTCAGAATAGATGCGCGAATGATGACTAGTGGTTTAAGTTCTGGTTCAACAGCCGCTCGAGTTATTGACCCTCGATGAAGAATGATATATTAGTTACCACATCTACATGTGTTTCAAGATAAAGCCTATTTTTCTAGTTAGTCTATTGATTCTTGATTTTCTGCGAACGTGAAGACTACGAGTCTACTAAAAGGCGAAAGCTCTTCAGATTGTCATTTAACACCTGTTGATCGTTCGTAGGTAACCAGCCGTTTACTGTGGTGGTGGTGGTGGGAAAAAGGACTTAAAATAGAGTAAATATTATGATGGTTCATATTCCAACACAACTTTACGTACGGCCTGCGAGCACCAATGTTTCCAGCACATTTTGCCGTTTAACTTTCAAAATATTCAATTTAATGTGATGTTTCTCTAGCGTACTTATAGCGGCACTTAGCAACTGCAACGGCAAGAAAGTTACTATTTCGTAAATTGCAAGCCTATTCGCTATGTACCTACTGAATAATGTAACATGGCTGTGGAGTGCTGTTACTTTATCTATAGGCAAATAGATTGGTTCGATCTCAGTAGCTCTTTCGTCGACGCGGCACTGAGCTGAAAATGGAGAGAAAACGAACGACATCTCTTCTATCGACCGGCACGGAATGACATAAGTTACGTACGTTTGACCAATTTCGTAATTGCATTTATTAGGGAGGAACATCTTTTTTGTGTTGGTCAAGGGACCAGGCAAATTCAACATGTAAGCAATTGTTATTTAAGTTTTAGAGTTTCATCGACATTGAAGGTGTTGAAGCGATGTGTTGTTGCAGCAAAACGTACCGCGGACGGCAGCCATTGTATATACGTATATTGCGTGAGTAAGAGTCGAAGCTTTCACAGTCTCCTAATATTACTACTATTATTTATTTGTATCAATTATTTTATTTACGTACGTGCATCTTAACAGAGCAACACGAGGACGGTGCTGATAGTAAAAACTCGCGTCCATGAATCGGACGAAACTATAGGAAGCATGCACTGCTAGCATGTGTTATTTTACAGATTAATATAATACATAGAAAATAAATATAAACATATATAATATGTAGAAAAACGCCTACTACAACTAGTAATAGTATGCTCTGATATAGGCCAGCAACGCTCCTTCATTGACCGGCATTTTCCCGCCCCTGGATGGGATCATTGTTGGTTTAATATGTCCGTGACAAATGACAGTGACTATCTCATGTAACGGAAATCCGTCCAGATGTAATGACTGTTGCCACTGATCAACAAGGAAAAGGATGATTTAAACCATTTCTTAATTACCATTGTTGCCAATCTGTATTGTTCTATGGCTGTATAGGTATTGACATGACCAATAAATTAAACCATTGTAATACATTGACATACTGTAACGGCCAACGGTGCCGTTTGTTTTGACTTATTCCAAAGCCGATAACAGCTATACGATTTATGCTTTTTAATAGAAAAAAATTACTAACATGTTTCGTACTAGACGTGTAATTCTACGGCGCTTTCGCCTCATGAACTAAAATTAAACTCATGAAATTTTAAAGTGCCTGAAGCACCTGAACTGGGCCAAAATCTAGGAGGAATTCACTGGATAAACTCAAATAGAACAAGTAAGAAACAAAGAATCTTTTTTAGATATTCGCTTTTTATTCCAATCATGGCTAGACGCCACGTAAAAACGTACTTGTAATAAAGTGAACTCCAACTGCAAATGATAAAGCCATCAATGACCCTGAATCAATTCGGCCTTCGTTCCGCAGATTACAAATCAATGTTTCGCTAACTTCTTTTAAAGTTTCATTTTGTTACAATATAAATAAAAATAAATAACATAATGTATATTTTAACATGGAATAGCATAACAGAATACTGTTCTAGATCGAAAAGTGTAGAAATCAGTACCACAAATTTATCTTGATTGCCTGCCCTGTTGATCGGCGGCCCAAAGGGAACTGTGCTACACATGGAATCCCTATGTTTTGGCACGAAACAGTTGATACGGCATACTATATTTTCGTATCTGACACTTGACGTTGTCTCTTAGAACATCAGATGCCATCGTATTTAACCATTATGTTATACGGTAAAACAATATGAAACGTGTCAAAGATGCGTCGGCTTCTGAAGCTAAGAAGGTGAAATTACCTACGAGGAGTGTACACGTAATCATTAGCAAAATATGTCAAAAAAAGGGATATTTAGCAAACCTGGCGTAAACAAGCAACGAGCACGAATCGCCACGTCGATCTGATGGCCGATAAGGACCGATTCCACTTTTTTGCCTTAAACTGCCTCGACTCCGCATGAAAGGTCGGGGTCAGTTAACAACGTATGAATATTTCATACCTGTGCGGATACATAAAGCTAATTTTAAATTACACAAAAAGAACATTAAGGTGTAGGATCTGACCTTCTGCTAATATATATATATATATGGACAGTTCAGATTCAAAAAATTCAGATTGGCCGGAGAAAGGCTCTGGTCTTAATGAGAAGCATCGCAAGAGGTTTTTTCACGATTTCAGATCTTTTAAGTTCAAATTTTTAGAATCGATGCGAAAAACTATGATCGTACCACCGACCTTCATGTTTTGCGCTTTACATCCGGTAGAACCGCTACGCATTTCATTCCTGCCAGCACCAAACGAGGCGTGTCAGTGCCTAGCTTCGAAATCAGACCACAATGTGCCCCTAAGACTAACGGCCAAATAGGTTAATCTATTACGGGGACGTGGCAAGACTGATATCGCTCATTCGTGAGGTTAGAAATACTACGCCTGTTGTTTCCATAAATTCATAGTTTTTTCTCTTTCCGAAGCTCTTCGACCGAACTGCATTGATAGCATTCTGCAAAACGCTTCAGCTTTCAGCCATACTACACTGAATAAACTATTTTCTCTTGTTAAATAAAGTATTCGTACCAACCAATTAGGTACTCGCCAATTAGGTATCCTGGTGTATCGTATCCAGCACTAATGATCGATTTTGTAGGCTGGAGCCAACGAATATGACGAGGCTCACTGTATACGTAACAGGCTGCGTTCGAATTAGCAGGACTAGTACAAGATCCTTGCACACAATTTTGACGTATCGTAATGAAGCTCTGCTCGACAAATGTATAGCACGCGTTACACACTTGAAATACCCAACGGTAATAACTCATTCCGCGTCGACAGAAAGTGTAGAAAGCTAGAGCTAAAATGTTTTTTTACTGTTTTACGTCCGACAGCCAGGCTGGCAAGCGCTCTTCAAACGGCTAGTTGGAAACAAACTTTGTTCGAACTTAAACTATCATGTGATCAAACGGCGAAAATTGGCAGCCTCATTGGACTTAGATGGGCTTGATAACGACAATAAAACGAAATCACCTTTGAGTATTCAACAGCATTGTGTGTAGTGCTTTGTAAAAATAAATTAATTGACAATAAAATATCCAGTAACCTTAAACCCGAAGCCTTACTCAATAGAATATCTGTCGGACCACCAGTTTTTGAAGCTATTATCTGTGAACGGCAGAAGTTTTATCGCGCACGTTTCCAAAAAAATACAAGCAAGTAGTGCCGGTCGCATGGTCGACCAAATAAGCTTGTCGTTCGCAGTTACTCTTATTTTGCTCTATCTCAAAGTAACTTCGATCGCAACGAAAAAAGAGTACGCCAGTAAACAAAATCCTACAACCTTGAAGAACTTCAAACAACTACATCGTGTCAAAGGGTCCTTCCTCAAAAGAGCATTGATACTCCACATAATGTCCCGAAATCGCTTCGCGTGAAATCTTCTAGTCGAATCTCCATTACGTCATCGCTCTGAACTTAGGCCAACTGGAGCCTTCAAGATGGAGCTTTAAAAACTGGGCAGATTTTCCACTCGGGTTCGAACAGGTAGACAGGAACGAACCGACTAAGTAAATATGTTGTCACTCGCTTTGTCGTAAATGGGTTCCACCATAGACTCTGTAGGAAATTAAGTTTCCCGAGCTGGTCAGTACATGTAGATATCCCAGATGCAAAAGAAATTGTGATAGATGCCATTCCACCTGATGTTTTCTGGTTTTATCTCAAGGACATGTGGCAAGTTTCTCAGAATAATTTTATAAATTACATATGGCGCAAACTGTTTTTAAATGGTTCTATATGGCCTTTCTGATATTGAAATGTATCGCTCACCTATCTTTATGAAACTTTGTATGAAGCCTTGATTACAACCACTGAAGGTGAATAAATGAATTTTATTGATCTGTACTGAAGTACTGTTTTTTGAAGCTTACAACGAAGGCGGAGATGATATTCATTTGTTGTGTTCTAGAATTTTCTGGGAAAGCCCGCAGAAATGAGGTAAATATTTGACAAGGAGCCTTGGCACACTGGCGACTAATAGAAAAAATGTTTGGTCATCCTAAATGCTCTCGATTAAAGTTTAATGCAAGCAGATTTTATAATCTATTATTGAAACTGCGAAATATACATACAGTGCGTATCAGAAAATTCATTCACAACCGAATAATATGAACGGGGTCGTCGCGTTGAAGTACCATGATATAGCTTTATTAAGTAATATAGAAGCAAACAATCTGTTCATTAAAAAAAAAAAAAAAACGGTTTCTTATTTACCATGTTCGACAATAGGTTTGTTTGCCATAGTCGATCGCTCAACCTATACCTGGCATGGACAGAACGTCACATGGCGGCCACCAACCTATTTCCCGTTTATCAGTAAAGCCCCGAGTCCAATTCAGCGACAAAATAAATTCCTAACCTCTTTACTATTAATGGCAGATATACAAATCACCGGGAAAACAAAACTTCTTCGAAGATATCGACACCACACGAGATATGTAACTCAGTGTTTCGAAGAAGGAAATCCCGACTTTAAAAAGGGGGACTTTGCATATTCGGCACTTTTTAACGAGTAGCAGGGTTTCTAAAGGTCCATTGTGCTATTGTACTAGATAGATAGGCAGGCACCCGGGCGACTATTATTCCTGTTAGGAAGCTCATTGATAATTCAGTGATATTTTTGGCTCTTAAGAGCTCCCTAAATAAACGCTATTGGCCATTCGATAGAAAAATATTTATATTCATCTAAGATCTAAGACCGGGACTGAGAATATTGTTAACCAAAAAAAAAAGGAATAGCCCGATTTCAGTTAAGCCTCAACGTGATAACCGCCAGCATGTGATGGTATTCAAGATAGATACCCTATTTCGGAAACACAGTGAAATTCTGAAGGCAGACTGTGGCTAGATTCGTCAAACCAAAAAGGGGTATAAATAAATACCACGGATGGGCAAGGGATAGCTCAAAGAGATATGGTTGTGTGACAGCATTTGACTTCACCATACTTTAGCAACCAGGAAATTCTAACGGTCCTGAGAAGGCAGCCGATCTACACAGGCTTGGAAGATGTGTAATTTACAATAAGAGACAGAAATCCAAAAATGTATTTATAAATTCAAGTAAATTTCTTACATCAAAACCCAGAGGTCCGTCTATCAACTAAATGGTACGGGAAAATCAGAAAAAGCAGAAGAAATTATTATATTTTCTTATTAGTTTCTTCCGAAAGTTGGTATCGCATAAACTGAGCTGAAAGAAATGACATTACATTTTGCCTAACTCGGAACCCCACAGGATCGAGCCCAGTATTTTCCATTAGCACCATCGCTGAAGAAACTACCATGGTTCGGCGGGACCTCCTTCTGTCCCCACTACATCGATACACACGAAAACCTCCTGCTGCTGTAAACTATGTCCCTTCTGACTAATATCGTGAGACGGCAAGGCTATTTCGAAATACTGAATGTAAAGTTCTTTGCAATTTCATATGCATATTTTCCAATACGATGAACTCGATCCCTCACAGTATTACAAACGCTGAAGTGACACCCCGCATCCAGGTCTCTGCATAAAGGCCACTTTATTTCACATCCCTTTGTGAACCATCTAAGTAAATGCATATGCTTATTTACAAATAAATATATATTATATAATAATATAATAAAGATTACACGGAAAGGAAACGTTCTTTTGTCTTTCTATTGTGCCGACTGAATAGCCGAACAAACGTTCGATAAAAACTCACCCTTAGTAGAGCGGAATCGTTAAACTATCGCATTGACACCAAATGCGTGCAAACGTGACCGTCTAATTGCTACTTAATACGATTCATATAATCAGACAGGATTGCGTACAGATATATATTCTGCGTCTGCCACCTGCTATTTCTTGCTAACTATGAGCCTCATTTTGTGCTTCGTTGTGAACTTCGTTGAAGTCATGTAGCTTCAGGATACTGGCTGCTATCTACGGCTCGTTTCGACCAACATTTAGCCATAACGTTAGAATTTCTTTTCGAGAAACCTTCGAAGGAAACGGATGCGCTGCATCTTTTAAAATT